AGGGCGTTTGGGGTCTTGAGGGTTTGGGGAAGGGGTGCAGGCTCTGGGAGGGAGTTTGGGGGCAGGAGGGGGTGTGTGGGAAGGGGGTGCAGGCTCTGTGAGGGAGTTTGGGTGCAGAAGGGGTGAGAGGTTGGGCTCTGGGAGGGAGCTTGGGTGTGGGAGGGGATCTGGGATGCAGGCTCTGAGATGGTAGGTTTGGGGGCGTGGGGGTGTGTGGGGAGGGGGTGCAGGCTCAGGGAGGGAGTTTTGGGGGCTGGAGGACGTGGGGATGGGGTGCAGGTTCTGAGACAGAGTTTGGGGGGCTGGAGGTGTGTGGGGAGGGGTGCAGGCTCAGGGAGGGGGTGCAGTCTCAGGGAGGGAGTTTGGGGGCTGGGGGGTATGGGGATGGGGCGCAGGCTCTGGGAGGGACGTTTTGGGGTGGGAGGGGGTGTGTGGGAAGGGGAAGGGGGTCCAGGCTCTGGAAGGGAGTTTGGGGGCGGAAGGGGGTATGGGAGGAGGGGGTCGGGATGCAGGCTTTGGGAGGGGGTTGGGGGTGCGGTGCATACCTGGGGCTCCAAGGCAGGGCGGGCCAGGGGTCCTCCACGCGCCACTGCCCCCGCAGCATCCCATTGGCCGCAGGGGCACTTGGGGTGGGGGCAGCGTGCGGAGGCACAGCCCTGCCCCGCCCCTATGCCTCAGGGAGGGGCCGGCAGCCACTGGAATGAGAAGGCAGATGCTGCTCAGCTCCACTGCGCTGCCGGGGCCCCTGAGGGGGGAGCACCCGGGGGCTGCAGGTGGGGTCAAGGGAGAGACTCAGCCCCCTAATTGTTGGAGTCCCGCGGGCTACACTGGGGAGGCTTGCAGGCCACAGATGGCCCATGGGCCAGGAGTTTGAGACCCCTGAACCAGGTGCTGTGTCTTAAAAGGAGCCGCTCCTGGAAGTGGCTCCTGGCTTAGACCCTACTCTGTTGCTGCTGTGGTGAGGGAGCAAAAGGGGCTCATGGAGGTCAGAACCCTGCCTTCAACCTCCCCCAAAATGCTTCCACCCTGAGAAATGCCGTTAACCACTAGCTATTGACTCCATCCTTTTTCTTCCCAGTGCTGAGAGATGGATTGTACCTGACTCCTGAAAAAAAAAGTACTGACTGGGGAAGGAGTTTCCCCTGGCCACTGTCTCTCCTCTAATGCACCCACAGAAGGAAAGGCAAAATTTAGACACATACATTTTAATATGCAGTGACAGTTAGTCAGTATTTAATTAAATGATTAAATTCCAAAATGTAGTGTAGCCCAGGCCTGGGAGCTGAAGAGAACCATCAACTCCCACTAACTTCAGTAAAAATCAAGGGCACTCATCACCTTGCAGGATCAAACCTAAGACACAGGTTCAATATACCCACTCCATCACTTTGCTTTCAGGTTGAATCCCTTCCCTGCTCCATTGTCTGTATTTGGTCTGTTTGGGCTCTGATCCTGCAAACACTTCTGCATCGCTTAACTTGAGGCATTCAAGCCTGCCTTTGGAATTATGAGACTTCTTGTGTGCTTAAAGTGGAGCATGTACAAAGGTGTTTGCAGGAGCAGAGTCGTAGGTTGTAATTTCAGAGATGCTTGGGACCTGTGGCTCAGTAACTTTCAGTACAGTGTCTTTTCACTCTTGCTGAGAAAATTACATTTCAGAATAAAATGAAATAACTGCCCTAAAATAAAATGGGTCCTTGATTTTATCTAAGGCACTGAGCTTTAAAAGTTAGAAGGAGTTTTAGATTTTCTTGCGTGGAGCCAAGGTGATATCTACTATTTAAGACCATGTGTTACTATCACAAGTACATACTAGTGTTTCTTAATTAAAGTTACCATTTGATTTTAAGCTGGGCACTGGCTTCTTTCTTTAATAAATCTCTACTGAGCCATAGTTTTGGAATCTAATGCATTCACAGAGTTATCTCCCATTGCAGTCAATGGGAATCATACAGCCAAAGGCAATATTTTATTAATGATAAACAATATTTATGAGCATGGCATTTGATTTAATTGGTGAGAAGCTAAAATGACAGTCAGTCACTGACCCTTAGTATTATTCCTTGGTCTACAAGGAATATTGGAGCATGGAACTCCAAGGCTAAAATTTAAAGCATTGAAGCAACTCTAAAGTAGCACACAACCTACTTACCCGAAACCTCAGAGATGTCTGGTAGTGTTTCTTCATTTCTACTTTGTCTGACTAAAATTATAAAGAAAGGGGGGAAAAAAGCATAGTTAAGAAAAATCTGCCAAAACCCTGTCCCTGAGAATGTTCAGGCCAGAGTTTGACCCTGCACCCATTAAAGTCAGTGGCAAAGCTCGGTGGTACAGGGCACATGCAGGGACTAGTTCTGAGTATCTCTGAGAGGGATCAGGCCTTTGAAAGCTAAATAAATGCACTATCATTAGCATTATAACAATCAACACTGAATTCATTAATAATGATTAGACATTTATTTTCAAATGGCTCACCATGGGAACTGACGGTAATACCTTATTAGGAAAGGCTAATCAGAAGTCTCTAAAGGACTGTATCTATTATTATACTTACTGTATTTATATCAGAGGTGTTTTTTGAAATAACTTTAAAATCATAAGGGTTTTTTCCATACCAAGGCAGAACTATTTTTTATCTTCCCTTATTATCACTTCACACCTTTAAGAGAAATGCAGGAGTTCAGATTAGATGATCATAATGATCCCTTCTGGTTTTAAAATCCATGAATTGTACAAACAGCTTCAAGTAAAAGAAAAGTGGTCTTCATTATGCTACACTTTTAACCTTATTCACAAAACTCAAGTTTACTGGGATTTAAGAAGGGTTGTTAATGACTAACTTGGCATGGAAAAGTATATTTCTTTGCACTACAATTAATATAGACACACATTGTCTATTTGAGACCTGAAAGTAGAGTTTAAGTAATAGCCTATAGCACAGAAGGTGCAGTGTAGTATACAAAAACACTGAGTTAAAGCTGGTTCCAAGTTACAGGTGGAAATACCAGTCTGAGTGTATGTCTACATTGCAAATGGAAGTGTGATTGCAACTTATGTGGGCATACACAAGCTAGCTTTAATTTAGTGTGGCTAAAAATAACAGTGCTGATGAGACGGGGGGGTTGTACAAACCAATATACACCCCTCACTATGTACTCATGTTCCTAGTCTGTGCCGAGGTCTGTGCCATTGTGTCTTTTCTGCTATTTTTAGCTGCAATAGCTAGATTAAAACTAGCTTGTGGATACCTATCCAAGTCGCAATTACATCTCCAGTTGCAATGTAGACATATCCTTGGTTTTGAATTTTCTTGTTGCTGTGCACTTGTGATATCTGATGTCATCTAAGCTCATTTTTGCATGTTAATTTCATTTGTTTATTAAACTTGCTACTGAAACAAAGTAATCATGCAAGGGGGAGAAGGGACCAACCAAAATCTCAGATCCAAATGCCTCTGAAAAAGGGAAAAGTCCACATTTGGGTCTGAAATTTGCAGGCAGGTCCCATGTTTACTGGAAGGTGATGCTCCAAGACTGGGATTGGGAACATGTGCAGGAAAATCAGCAGTAACTCTTCAGTAGATTCAAAATTTCTAGAGGGGTAGAGCACAGGAAAGTTTGCTTGTGTTCAGTTCACTTTCAGATATGGTGGGTTAGAGTCACCCCTGCTGCCATAAGATGGTGCAAACTACATCTTTTCATGCCAGTGAGCATCACTGCACTCCACAGGGACTCTCTCTCTCTCTCTCTCTCTCTCTCAATTGAAGGCAGCATTTCCTAACTTTAAGTGTTGCCAGGGTCTCCCCAGGAGTCCCACTAGTGGAGGCTCAGCGAATGTGCTGAGTCCGTGCATCCCCTAGCTGTCTTGGCAGCGCTAATATTTTTTGGCTGTGTTAGTCACTTGTGAGCCTACTCACTGGCAGAGAGGTGGCAGGTGCCTTGTACCACTGCAACCCCCGCCCCCCTTATGGCAATTTTTCCACCATGGAGAGCCCTACATTCTGCCCTCCTAGAACCTCTGGGGAATCTGGCTTGCTGAATTTCAGCTGTGTCAGGAAGTGAGTGAGTGAGTGATGGAATCAGTCAGTATTATACTGTTGTACTGAAAATTCTCTTAGGCTGAAATGACACTGGAGGAGAGCCCAGGTAGAATAATGCAACCTGAGCATAGGAGGCCAAATGTTTAGTTTACTCAGAAGCTGACTTTGCAAGATAGTCTTTGCCAGCCTTAGCTCAGCAGAGGCTTTATGGATCCCTCCTCAGTGAATTTTCTAGCTCCTCTCAAATAAATTGCCACATCCCAGTCCTTCCTAAGCCACTCTGTTCATGCAGCTCTAGATGAAGTGTGTTTGTCAATATCAGTGCCCTCTCTACTTACTATCAGATGCTTAAAAACAACGAGGAGGCCGATGGCACCTTAAAGACTAACAGATTTATTTGGGCATAAACTTTCATGGGTAAAAAACCCACTTCTTCAGATGCATGTTTTTGATAGCTAAGTAGTCTCTACTTGTTTCCTTCTTTTCATCACTGACTTCAGATTTTTTCAGACTTGCTGCCTTTTGATGTCAGTAAAGAGGCTGGAAATTGAATAGTAAATCTCTAACCAAAGGATATTGTAAGGAAAAAGTTTGTCATGTTAAAAAGTGGCCAAAGCTTTTATTTAGGTGACCTCTGCATATGCTTTTGCCATGTTCCCCATATGTAACTGAAGCGTAGAAAATTGGGCTCGTAGAAAAGCCTCTGTTTTCATCTGCAACATCTGTACTATATGAGTGACTCTGTGGAGAGTTGCAAATTTCAGACACATTTCTTTGGCTATATTTCCATGTGGTCTCAGCTGCCAGAGAAGCTGCATCGAGTTGCTCTTTTCCAGCTGTGTAATTTGGGTAAGAGCTTTAAATCTGACCTTGCTGCTATCATGTGACACTTCTGAATTCGCCTTCAACTTTTCAATGGCTGTTGTGTGTAATTAGAATACTGGTATAGCATGTACAGTATGAAATGTATGTTGCCTCTTTTCCAAAGCAAAAGAGCTGAAGATCAGTGCAGAAGCACATAAATATACTTGGCTAAATAAAGAAGCGCAGGTGTGCCTTGCAAGAAAAAGTCTATTTGAGGTTTAAACAAGTTTCTGCTTCATGTCTAATAATGTAGTTCAAAGTACAACAGCAAATGTGGAAATTCCACTTCCCACTGTTACTTACTATTATATCGCCACCTTTTACAAATTGCATTCGGGGCTGGAACACCAACAGATCACACAAGTAGCAAATATCACAAATGGTGTCTATGAGGATCCAATAGAATATGTTGCTTGGTGTTTGCACTGGGAACACACAGCGCAGTGGAATGAACCAGCAGTTCCAGTTATAGGCAATGGTAACAATCAGGAGCCACACTACATAGCGGCGATCTGGAAAAGAAAACAGGAGCTGGTGACTTAATCAGTATGAAATCATCATCTTCTTATTTCTCTCTGTTTGGGAATAAAGGGCTCATCCTCCAAGGAAAGCAGAGCAATTTGCAAATGTACCAGACATTGTGATCTGGAGGAATAAACACTGGCCTGGGAGGTAGGAAATCCTGAGTTCCAATCGTGACTAAGCCATTCCCTTGCTGTGTAACTTTGGGTAAGACACTTTACTTCTCTGCATTTTCCTCATCTGTCAAACAGGGATGCTGATGATAGTAATACTTATTCACCTCACTCATGGAGTGATGTGAGGATGAATCTGTTCATATCAGTTCAGTGCTTTGAACATATGAGGGGCAATATGAACACTATGTAGTAGAGGTGAGATAACATTTCTGAAAACTTATGACATATTGCTAAGGAAGGAGATCTTTACAAAAAAAGACTCTAATGTTACTGTTTCCTCCTTCGTGGTACCCCGGGTTTCAGCTAGTGTACTATCTACATGCCTACCTAGACAAAACTAGAGAAATAACCCTATAGCATTTTTGTTGTGAGACTCTTATAGATGGAATTATAATTGCTTTCCCCAGATATCCAGAAAGAAATAGGGATTATTCCCATTCATAGTAACTATTCATTGCAAAGGTTCCTTATAGTAGTTTACAACAATGCACGCCACGTAAACTCAGATCTCTAAGGATCTATCTACATTGCAATTAGATACCCGTGGCTGGCCCAGGCCAGCTGACTTGGGCTCTCAGGGTTTGGGCTAAGGGGCTGTTTAACTGCGGTGTAGACATTCAGGCTCCGGCTGCAGCCTGAGCTCTGGGATCCTCCAATTTCGTTAGAACTTGGGCTCCAGCCCAAGCCCCAATGTCTACACTGCAGGTAATTAGCCCCTTAGCCTGAGCCCTGCAAGCCCAAGTCAGCTGGCATGGGCCAGCCACGGGTTCTTAATTGCAGTGTAAACATACCCTGAGTCTTCAGAATGTTTCGCAGCATTTTAGACGTGAGAATACCATTGAGTTTAATTGGTGAGTTACAGTCAAAAACCTGTGTAACACTTCAAACTCAGGAGTGGAAGTTCACTCATTTAACTATTTTGACTTGTGGGTTTCAGAACACTTATACTTTTCTGAAAGATCCCAACCCTTTTAGTTAAAAACAGAAGCAAACCTGTTAGATGGAGTTAAGCTAGAAAACAGTTTCTGTGGAAGAGAGAAGATCACCCTCTGCCTTTTATAACACAGCATGGTCTGTTAAAAGGAGTCTGGTAAGAGCTAGGAGTCACACATGGAATTTATTAAAGGAAGAGGGCTGGATTCACTTCTGTTTAAAATAGGGCTTTAAAATGGGTAAAAAAGGTAGAGACTGAACAAAAAATACCTGTGCAGGTCTTTTTTTGGGAGTACTTATAAAACTTGTCCAGTTTGGGTAGAGTCGGATTTTCGTGACAACTCTTTGTTAAGCTTCCAAGACATTTCAGCACTGCAGGGGCAGTGGCCTTAGGGGATCAGGCATTGGACTGGGAATCAGGAGACCTGACTTGTATTCCTGGCTCTGCTGGTGAGCTTGGGCAAGTCACCTTGCCTCTTTGTGCCTCTATTTTCACTCTCACCATTTGGCTATTGACACTGACAGCTCTTCAGGGAGGGACTTGTGCAGTGGGGCTCTGACCTCAGATACGGCATCCAGATGCTACTTTAACACAAGCAATAATTTTTTTCCCCCGCCTTTGACACCTTCCTTTGTGTGACTACATTCGGTTTACCTGTGTATGCATCTATACTGTCTGGTAGCTCCATCTTCTTCAGGTATTCTTTCAATGGTGGTTTCTTGAATTTACAGCACAGCATGTCACAGTAATGATCCTCTGGCTTGGCATCACCTTCCTCTTTTTTTTCTTCATCTTTTTTCTCTTCTTTTGGTGGGGGTGGAGGCGGAGGCTTCTTTTTAGATGGAGCTAAGCATGTAAATGTCACAGAAGGGAACATTTAACAAGGACATGCACACTGTCACTGTTGTGACAGATCTTGAGAGCCCCAACGTATTAAAGGCCATGCAATCGACTCCTTAGTGTTTACTGCTACAATTTTCAGTTCTGTTTTCAGTTAGAAAACAGATTGGAGAATAAATTCACACTGACATAGGCAGGCACACTCCGGCTAACACCAACAGGATATTTAGTGCTGGGTGTCACAGAGGGAAATGTGATACTACACTATCTTTCCCTGGACAGTCAATGCTTGTACAATTAAACACTTGCAGAATTGAGATGGGGGTAAGGCAGGAGGCACCCAGGCATTTATTCTTGCATGACTGTTGTAAACTTGCCATGGATGGGATAGAATTGCTGTGGGACCAGTTCTGCCACACTTGAGCTGAGTTTCTTACTCTAAAAGTAGTCACTTGATTTCAGTGGGGCAACTTGCAGAGTAAGACAGAACTGAGTATGAGTAGTAAATTGGCAAACTGGACCATCTATAATTTAAAAAATAAAGTAATGCAAGTGCCAGAGAGAGGGGTAATAGGTTAACTGACACAGAAGTAGTTAAAAAAATCTGACCGTTTCTTTCTTAGCTGACAAAGTTTATAATCCTTTAGACACTCATCCTGATACTCATCCGACATGCTATATTTTCCAACTTATTAGAATTCAGGAGATCAATAAATAGCTTCTGAAAAAAATGCGGAATATGCAGATTACACACTCTTCAAAGTGTGCAAAGGAAGAAAAGTTTTTTTCTGAAGAGGAATAACATCAGTACTATGTTTAATTATTTTCAGGTGAGATGTATTGCCTTGTGCTGCTGGATCCCATTCTCACCTATATACCTGGCATATTTAATGGTGCTGGAAGATTATCGCCAGACCTTAAGCTTTGTTTACTTTTACAAAAGAGATCTCATCTCAGTATCACCTATGTGCCCGCATGTAGCATATTGCCACATATGACTTCCCATAAGGAATATATCTTTGATCCCTAGGAATACAGATAAAATAACTGAGATGAATCTAGAAAGTAGTTTGAAAATGGTGATCCTGAACAGTCGTAGTTGGAGACTTACCTCTATTAAAACTTTTTAATGAGGGACCTCAATGGGTTTAAAGGGCCACATTCTCAGCTGCTGTAAGCTAACACAAGGGTTCTCAACCAGGAGTATATGTACCCGTGGGGGTATGCAGAGGTACATCAACTCATTTAAATATTTGCTTAGTTTTACAACAGGCTACATAAAAACACTAGCAAAGTCAGTACAAACTAAAATTTCATACAATGACTTGTTTATACTGCTCTATATACCATACACTGAAATGCAAATACAATATTTACGGTATATTCCAATTGATTTATTTTATAATTACATGGTAAAAATGAGAAAGTAAGCAATTTTTCAGTAACATGCTATGACACGTTTGTATTTTTATGTCTGATTTTGTAAGCAAATAGTTTTTAAGTGAGGTGAAACTTGGAGGTACGCACGACAAATCAGACTCCTGAAAGGGGTACAGTAGTCTGGAAAAGTTGAGAGCCACTGCTAACACAGCTCCATTGATTTCAGTAGACATATGATGATTTATCCCAAATGAAGATTTGATCCATGATTCTTGAAATATTATCTTCCAGCATTTTAAAGTCTCAGAATAGGACTTTCATCTTTAAACCACCAAATAAATAGTTATCTTTTGAGAACTAAAGCAACTTACAAGATGTAGGACTGCCCTCAGGAGAGGACTGTAGTGGGTCAGTCAGTTTTTCTTTATAGGCTGATGTCCTTGCCCTCATTTTTTTGACAATCTCTTGCAGTTGGGCTTCAGTATACTCATTTACAACACGGCCTTGAGATGAGCTAATTAAGACAAAAGAAGAACAGTTAAGAGTATTGGAAAGGAATGAAAGAAAACAATCAGCATCAATGCTATGATATGAGTAGAATTCAAATGCAAGGGCAAGATGCTGGTTTGTCCTAAGGTCCCTTTGTGCTACTGAAGTTATAATAAATAGGTAGCCAAGAAGTTTCCCAGGGTATGTCTGCACTGCAGTGGAAGCCCAGGGTCAGTGGAACTTGAGTCAGCTAACCTTGAGTTTGAGAAACCAGGGTCTGAGCATCTACACTGATTGCTGACCCTAGATGAAGAATATTTTAACTCAGGCCAAAACCTGGGGCTCCAGCATCCTCACTGGAGTACTGCAGACTTCCTACCACTCTCCCAAAATGTGGCCACTCTGGCCCTTTGTTCATGGCAGTGTGGGAAAACTCAACTGTCCACCCCATATGTTACAGGAGGTTTGAACAGCCCACCAAAACATCCTGCAGAGCCATCCTTTTGATCTGCATGCTCCCAGCAATCAGAGACAGCAACTTAGAGGAGGCACCATGTGAAGAACTTCTCTTACTAGCGCTTTCATTCCTGTTTCTGGAAATTGGCAGAGCTTCCTTGAGATAGTGGTGGACATTTCAGCAGTGTTTTCTGACCCATTGTAGGCATCTGACAGAGCTAATGATAGGATGGGTGTGAGGACACAGACACCTGGCAGACTCCAACTTGCTCAGGCTGCTTGTGACACTCTATGTAGCTGCTGATGCCCCCTATGTAGACGGATGCTTCTGGAGCAGGGCCACAAGCACAGACTGGAAAGGCCACATCGTCCTGCAGATGTGGGTCCAGAACTTTCACATGAAGAAAGCTTCATTTATGGAGCTTTCTAAACAGCTTGCCCCAACCCTCCTGGATCACAACACATGCAGGAGAGCGCCCATACTGGTTCTGAAGTGAGTTGCTACAACCGTCTGGAAGCTGGCTATCCCAGACTGCTACAAGTCTGTTGCCAGCTGCTTTGGTGTTGGGAAGGTGACTCTGAATAAAGTAGTGACAGAGGTTTCTGAGGCAATCTGGCATGTGGTTTATCTCAATGTGACAGGAATAAAAGATATTCCTGAAGTAATTGCTGGCTTTGAGAGAATGGGGTTTCCACATTGCACTGGGGCCACTCACGTGCCCATAGATTGCCCTCCTCAAGGAGCACATTAAACCGCCAAGGTTACTACTACTCCATTGTTATGCAGGCCCTCGTAGACTACAGTGGCTGATTAATGAACATCACTGTGGGCTGCACTAGTAAAGGTCATGATGTCAGGTTTTCCGACAGTTGGGAATCTACATTCATGTACAGGCTGGGCCACTAGTCCCACCAAATTTTCATAAGTGAAGTTGCTGTCCTCACTGTTATTCTGAGAGACCCCACATATCCCGTTTTGCCTTGGCTTATGAAATTATATCCTGGTCTCAGAGGCTCTGGCAAAGAAGGTTTAATTACACTTTCAGCAGGTGTAGAATGGTGGTTGAATGTGCATTTGGCAGACTGACAGCCCGGTGGTAATATCTACAGACCTGTTTGGATTCCAGTGTCATCAGCGCAATCTGGATGACTGTGGCTTGCTGTGCTCTTCACAATCTTTGTGAAACCAGAGGTGAGCCATTTCCCCCTGAATGGATCTGTCACAGTGATGGACTGCTGAACCAGTACACCCAGCTTGACCTGGGTGAATCAGGGCAACAGAAGTCAAGGATGCTCTGTGCTCCCACATTATGCACTTGCATGTGCCCATGGAAGAGGGAGAACAGTACCTTTTATGAATGTATGTGTGTCTGGTGGGTTTCATTGCTTGTGGGGGAGGGTTTTATTGCCATGCATTGTATTTATAAATGATATGGCAGCTTATGAGATGGGGGGAGGGTGGACTCACAATATGGATTGATGTAAATAACTCATTGATGTAGATAGTTGTATTGAGAATTATATTTTGCATACAGCTTCCCAGTTGTCCCTGATAATTCGTCACTTTTATTATTTGAAACAGACATTAGATGATGTGATGCAGTGATGGCAATACCATTTTTAAAAATAAAATAAAAACCTTTATTTTTAAATATTTGTTGGAAAGGTACAATATTAACCATTGCTAGACAGGCCAGCTGCCGTTAGCACACTACTGACACCAAAACCTTAAAAACAGAACAAAGTGCATGTACATGTACAAAAAGTGAAACCATTTACAAGACAGAACCCCTTGACTGTTATGAGTCTCCTGGCCTTCCATTCCCCTTGTCCTTCCTTCCATGTTTGCTTCCCACTTGGGGCCAGGGAAGGGGAGTGAAGGTGCCCAGAGGGGAAGGGTGCAGCCTGGAGGACTTCATGGGGGCACATTTGCCCTGTGCAGCCACTGACAGGGCCTGGTTGCATGGGCCACGCAGTCGTGGAGTTGTCCAAGCTGTTCCTAGACTGCTGGACAGGGTATTGCCCAGGGGATGCTGGCCATGGGACTGATGCAGCAGGAACCTGCAGTCTTGCGGACATTAGAGATGGCATTCGCCCAAACAGTTCTTTCTGCTGAGCTTTCTCATCCTCCCTTAACCACCGTTCCTCTTCCAGGAACTGCAAAGCAAGTGTCTGCTCCAACTCTGTGCTCCAACTGTGAAGCCAGCCTGAGCCTTTCCTTTTGCCTCTCAGCATGATTTCCTCTTGCCGAAAGTCCCTCTGTCTTACGTACTGGACCTGGTTGTTGGTCCTGTCCAGAACTTCAATCATAAATTCAACATGGAAGCGCTTCCTCTTGGAATGATCCAGGAAGGTATGGTGTTTCAGGCTTCCGCTCCAGTGTGGGTGAGCTGAGGAGGTATTGCAGCCAGCCGAGGTTGATGGGCCTGTAATATGACAAGACACAGTGAATTATTGTCTCAAGTTTCTCAGTGCAGGAGCACAGAAAAAAAAGCTGTTTTGGAATTTCAAGGAATTAAAATGTTACCTTTTAATACTGAACTACAATATATTGAGAGAGGGATGCCTCAGACCACAGACTCCCTGGACACAGCCTGGTTATCGCAGTGAAAGAGGTGCAGAGAACATGGTAAGTTAAAAAAATCATAACTGCTTTTTTTTCTAACAATTGCAGACCACCTGGGCTTTGGGGGGAGATCAGTGGCTGAGACATGCTACATAAACCTTCTCTGATGTTTCAAACATTCCACATTTTGGAGGACATAACAGATTTTGTGGTGCCGGATTGGCAGAGAGGTGTTATTCCAAGCTGCCAGTGGGAAACCAGCTGTGCATGTCCTTGAAGTATTTAAGTGGATGGTGACCAAACAGCACATTTAAAAACTGAATGTGCTGGTCAGCTACTGAGATGGACCTGAAAAATATGCCCTTCCCCAAAATATGACTACCTATCTGGAGTTCCTGCTAAGGGAAAGTTTGCAGCTGTCAGCACCCAGGATTGGGTCACAATTCATGAAGGAATCAAAAAGATGCTGCGCTAACATCCACATGGCTTAGTATTTCCCCACAGCTTCCAATACAGCCTGTTATGACTGCAAGCAAACACACAGAACTCCACTGCCATCCCTCTTCCCCACCCTGGTCTCCCCTCACCATTCCCCAGCATATTTCTGGACTGAATTCAAAACCTGTCATATTTGGGATGCATGATGTAATCACCCACAGACTGCAAGCATTGCATTTAACAGAAATGGATTACATTTGAAAAAGGGTTACATTTCAACCTTTTCTCGCCAACTCCACCACAATTCACTGTTTTCATTTGGAATGTTGTAGCAAAAAATATGCACCTTCCCAGAAAAAAAAATCTTTACAATGCTTCTTTTACTGCTTGTGTTTCCCAGTCTCCATTCTTATTTACATGTGGTGGGCAGTGAGGGGACACCAAAACACTGGCATGCCATCCAGATGCATGCTGCTACCCAAGGTTTGTAATAACTTTTGCATTGGTTCATAGAATGCATTTCTATGTTAATAAACATAAAAATGGAGCCATAAACTTACCAGGTTCTGGGGTGCTTCTGTCTCTTCCATCTCTCCTGCAAGTTCCGTGCCAGCTTCTTCATTATTTGCTGGTATGCATGGTCATTCCTGATACTCTTAGTGAAATTAGCTGTTTTGCTGGTTAGGCACCGGAGATTAACCAAAATCTAGCTGTACTCCCATGACTCTTAGGCAGGGCTCTTTGTAAAGGACTACTTCTGATTGGTGGCCATTGCAAATGCAGAAGGTTCTCTGGAAGTGTGTTGCTCAGCAGTCAGAATAAAATTGAAGGGTTAAATGCCAAGCTGCTGTGCTAAAATCGGGGGATGGGGGGTTGCTTCTGTTTCCTGGAAGTTGACTGGTGACTTGTGGGATAAAGAGGACAAAAAACACTGGACCATGGGATTGTGGGATAGTGAAGATGGACTCCCAGGGTCTAAGTCTGGCATGGCTGCGTGCACACGACAAAACACTACTGCTTGAACCCTGGGTCCTGGCTGAACTCAGGCTTGGACCCTCCACTCATGTAGGGTTTTGCGACCTTGGGTACGAGCCCAAGTCTAAGAGATTTGTGTGTAGACAGATGGGGGGTTAAGGCTTGAGCCTGAGTCTGAGCCAGGGCTTTCATTGCAGTGTAGACATATCCCCATTGTTCTTAAAGCCATCATAGCTGGCTCTATGCAAGCCCCCAACATCAAGAGTAGGAGAAGAATATTTCAAGGAGTTGGGATCAGAATATAATGTGGTCTGACTTATGTTGCTTCTATAATAGCCTAGAGGGTGGGGTGGTATAAACAGGTGCTATTCAGAGGAATCCTTAGGGCAGCTCTAATGTGCTCCAGGGCTGTTTCCTATCCCTCATCTGCATTGAGCTCTACTCTGGGGATTTAGCCCTGAGTGTGTTTTCACTAGGAAAAAAAGTGTGTTCATGGTAAGTAACATGAGGTAAAATCCTAGTGAAGACAAAGTAGTTTGCTGTTTTCACACCTGTTAGCAGGTTGAAGTAAAGAGTGTGGGGGATCCTAG